GCAGAAATAAAAGCGTAAATAAAATGCACACCGATTTTATACTGGTTCGGGAACTCCCTACTCCAGTACCTCGAGGCTCCTCCTCAAGGATTTCCGAATCCACTAAGTTCCGGCCTCTTGAACTCCGTCAAAGCACCGCACTAGTTTGGCAAACAACCCTTGCCAATAGGATTCACTCCGAGATTTCACCACGGCTATCTCGAACCGTTTACAATGAAGATTTAACGGCTATCTTCTACCGCTCCCCCAAGGATTTCAAAGGCTATCCTTGAACCTTTACCTAAGGATTTATACAGCTATCCTTGACCGTTACAATGTGAGAATTTAACGGCTATTCTCGACCGTAAGAAGGTATGTTTGAAAAACACAAACAAGAGTTCTACACAACGGCTTGAATATAAAAATGAAGAACAAAACTTAGCCGGTGTAGAAGGAAAGTATACTCTCTCAAAAATACAATTCAAACTTATGAATATGAGAGTATATAAGTAGAAACACAAGCTCAAAGTGTGTGTATAAAAATTAGGAATTTAAGGCTATTAAAATAGCCAAAATATTGAAAATAATTAATAGAAGGATGAACACACTTAGAATAAAAAGAGAGGATGTTTAGAGCTTTGTTTCTAGTTAAAATATGAAGTATTAGGCCTATATTTATAGTGGAAGATGTTAATTAGCCGTTAGGAGGTGATTAGAGTTGAATTAATTCAAAAATCAGCAATTAGGAATAGTGTTCCAACGGTAACGGTACCCTGTCACGGTAGCTAGGTCCCGTACGGTAGCTAGGTACCTTCTCAGGCCAAAACTCTCTGGAGGTACCTATACACGGTACCTATACACGGTAGGGGGGTCCCGTCTCAGATTAACTCACGGTACCCCTTACGATATCCCTCACGGTACTCCTCACAGTACCTAGGTACCTTATGACCATTTTGACAATTTTTTCATTTTTGTCCAAATCATATCCAATTTTGTTTAAAACCTTTTGGATGTTTGAAAATGATTATAAAAGGGTTTTAAACATATTTTGTGAGTGTTTTTGAGCTTGTGAATAATATAGGTATATAAAATCAAATCCTTACATCCATTTCTACCTAAATTCTAGGCTAGTTTAATGTTTTGACTTCATTCTTCAGAACTGAATCTTAATAGATTCTTGTTGTACCTGAAACACTTAAACAAACGTCAAACTCTTATATTGTTTGTTAACATCAAAATATGAGGCTTAGCAAACCAAGGCTAACACTTCTGGTGGGCCTAGCCCACCAGGCTATGTCCTACACAAACAGCTAGGAAGCACACGCATGGCAAAATGTATTGTATAAATACCACTCTCGTGAAGAAGGGAAGACACGTTCACATTTTTACTACTCTTGCGATCGAAAGAAACTCAGCCCTTGTTCGATACTCTTCTACCTAGTCTCTTAGGTCTGGGGTCCTAAACCCCATCAATGTGGAAGGGATTTCAAAATTTAAAAAGAGAAAAAAGAATTTCGGCATATTTGTCTTTTTCAAATTCTTTACCGGCTACTGTACAGAAAATAACTTGGGGGCGAGTGTGCATACTTTAGAAATAATAGGAATTTTAGGAATAAATATTGAAAATATGGGGGGTTTCGGTGCTTATTTTCCAAATCACGGGGAGTTTAGCGCTATTAGGCCTCTATAATAACCCTGATTTGGGCGGGAGAATTCACCTCTTTTCTTTTTGCTTTGTACTCCATCCATTCCTGAGTATTTGTCCAGTTTTGATTAGTTTCAATAAAAACTGGTAAGCTTTGACCTCATATTAAATAAAAATGATATTAGATATTGATAAAAATAGTTTTATTAGATTTATTATATGAAATATTTTCAAAATGTTATTTTATCTAATTAATAAACAAAATATATTTTATTTAATTAAATGTCAAAGGTTGAAAACAGTTTATTGAAAAAAGCCAAAATTGAATAAATGCTCAGGGACAGAGGTAGTATATAGGTAGAGCTAGACTAGAACATTAATGTTCTAATTACAAAAAAAGAAGAAAGAACATTGTGTCGGCCAATGGAATGATACTCCCTAAATTTTTTATATTTAAATTACATGTATTTAGGACTTGTATTAAAAACACATGTATTAACAAAATTAATTTGTTAAAAAAGTGATACTCCTTAAAAAGAACTACCATCCGAGTTCACCCCTAATGTGGTCGCCTTTATTGTTGCTACCACTGTCACTGCCACTGCCTTCGCAATCTACAAAAATTGTCATCATCATCGTTGCAGCCTGTTACCATCTCGTACAGACACGAACTCTAAAAAGAATTTAAAAAAATTATTAATATAGTGCCAAACAGAGCCATAATATTAAAAAACACACAACTCATGATCACATACACGGCAAACAAATGTGCTATACAATGCCAAATGATGTAAAAATTTTAAAACAACTCCAAAACTACTATGATTTGGCAACACACAATGCCAAAAGAATAACATTAAAATTCTTTATTTCTGATGTAATACTGTAATTTATAAATGCATTTAGTTTTTTTATCGTATTTTTATTTTTTCCATTTTGAAATGGGGGAGGGTTCTAATCATAAAATATTTAAAAAAAATTTATTGTTTACTACTCCCTCCGTCCCTCAGTTTTTGTCCAGTTTCATTTTTACACACCATCAATGCACTTCTTTAATCCATTTTATCTTGTAATTTGTATATTAAAAAAATTATAGAAATTATATATTAGTAATCTATATGTTAAGACAAATCAAACAAGATCACACATTACTATATTTAGGCTTACACATTGAGAGAATTTGATGAGTTAAAGTGTTTAGATAAACAGTTCCAAAAATCAAAAGTGGACAAAAAATGGAGGACGGAGGGAGTATTAGTTATCAACATTTAGCATCGTCAATTTTGTAAACCACTATAGTAGTGTTTGTGCAAATGGATAAAGCCATTTGTACGCAAGTTTTTGTACCCCGCTTTGTACCCGCAGGTTTGCATCAACACTTTGTATCCGTGTAATTTTTTGTTAACACACCAACACTTATGCCGGTGTAAACCATTAAAATGTTTGTGTATAACTACGGAGTACAAATAAGGTACAATTTTTAGTGTAAGTGTAGCATGGTTCTTGTGCAAATACTTCACGGCCTTTGTGTATATGCGGAGTATAATTTGCGATGAAAGGTATACGAAAACTCCGAGGATTAACAAAACTCAAGATAAACCATGGGGAAATCAAGTTTCTAAAAACTACTATCCCCGAAAACCCAAATTTGGGTTTGCCTAGAATAAATGCACCAATACAAGTACCTAACATTCTATAAAGTTTTATACAATGACTTGATAATAAAAAGGATGGTTGGCTATCTATAAGAGTTTGATCTCAATTCTATGATGGCATCTTTCCTTCACGTGCAAAACTCCTGGTTGTCGAAAATTTCCCAATCATCATCTGCAGTAACATCTTTATGTTCACCATCTCTGGTTTGACTCGCACTGCCTAGCTCCTCATGTTCATCAGATGAATTGATAGGCTCAGCTGCTTGGTACGCAGGCTCAGGTGTCATACTTTTTAAAGATGAATTTGAAGATGCTAAAATGCAGCTTGTCTGGCCAGAAGAAAATGATTCACTCAGAGGAACTCCATTGTCAAATTTCATTTTTAGCAACCTCACATCCTGACATATAACAGATATCTCTCCTCTGCAAAAATAAAAAAGGAATTGAAGAAATGCTTAGTTTATTCTTGAAATCCGCAAAACAGAGAGAATTAAGAGTTCAGGTCCCCTCCATAAACGGAAAACACTAATCCAGCATAAAATCTAAATCAAAATTAAAGGATATATCCATTGTGTTCATCTTTTCTATTTTCTTCTGATTCCAGATGGATGCCCCCTTAGACATGTTTATCTTTTAAAAGATAAAAAACTAAAAATACTTACTGCAACATATCTACAACACGTCCACGATCAACAAGGAACTCCTGTAACTGAAATGGAATAAAAGCACACCAAAATATAGGTTAGCTGTACTTCAATCAAGCACCACTTCCAATTAAGGATCATGCATGCACATGCACACACACATAAGCGCACAAACACACAAGTGGTCCTTACTTTAGAATTTTCTTCGGCCTCTTGCTTCAAAATGTTTGATTCTCGGACTACTTTCTCCATAATAAGTTCTTGTTCAGCCAATGCATTCCGTGCAAGCTCTTCTTTTTGCATTTTTTCATACTCAGCAGCTTCCCTATTCCTCTTGGCAGCATCTAGACGTACCTCAAGAATTTGTCGCATCTATTGAAAGAAGTTATGCGGTCAGATAAAATATATTGCTGCTACAAAATGAAGGCAATAGGACATGTCTGACTATATTTTAAAATACAGGAAAATCACAAGATCCAAATAAGCTACAACCCGGCAGAATGACAAGATTCCTGTGACAACGCTAATTCTAGTTTACAATCTAAGATACATTTATTGATAAAATACTCCTCCAACATCAAGAAAGAGTACAAATTATAACACATCTAAGCCTTAATACCATGCAACAAAACGTCATCACCTCATCAAGAATAGCAAGAGATTTATCCCTTTCATCTGCCAAGTTGAGAAGGCGAGACTGGAGCTCTTTCACCTCCGTTGTCAAAATAGCCTTCTCACCATACACTTCTCCAGCATGCTGCAACAAGAGAAATGCAGCTCATGAATTCCAGAAGTAATTAAAGACATTATTATATCAGCAAGACTTCAATTTGTTTTAAATGAAAAGCAACCATGTCATTTGCTTCCTTGGCGTGTTTCAGCATTTCTTTCAGATGATCCACTCTCTGAAGTATGCCGTGTCCCCCAATAGCAGATTCCTCATCTGCCTGTTCTGCAGCTTTCTCTTGATGGTCAACCTCCTTCATTAAGCAGATCAGAGACTCCATAGCAGCAAACATGGTTTTCTGAAAAACAGTACTAATTATACTTAATGCCAATAAATCATAAAATATACTCAAGCTTTGACTGCAATAAACCTGTGTGTGAATTTCTACCTATATATGTGTGTGCATGTTGTAGGGTAGGGGGAGAGGGGGGAGTGACTGTGTCTAAATGTATATGACCGAAGACAACCATAGCTAATGGGACAAATCTTGAACTTACAAATGATTGTTTCACTAGCTGATGGGGTCCAAGAAGAGACAATTAATTGTCGCAAGCTGACAAACCATTGACTGGACAAAAACTGCACCCAGCAGACTTTTATTTGATTGACTTCTCCTCATAGCAATCCCCAACAGTGGCAAACTCTTTTGCCTATAAAAGGGGGCCTTTATACTCACTTTTTAGACCGAACACCACCCGATTCATAGAAATTGTTTATACAAATATCATTGACTCATTTTAAATCTTTTGTTGAGCTATTTTTGAGAGTTGATATGTTATTCATAAGAGTGTTTATTGTACTCAATATTTTGAATTTACAATTAATCTATTTTTAAACACTTTTTCTTCAGACTATTAATTTTTAACAGTTATGACTTGGCACCATGAGTAGACTTTAGAATACTTAGTTAAGACTTGTCACCTATGGAGCTAGTCTACTAAGCATCCTGGGTGTCCACCTGCGCCTTGCCTTTACGTTGTGGTAACCATGGTGAATATGAATTAAAATTTACAGCATCCATCAAATTTAATCTGACAAATGTGAGAAAAACATATTCCAGTGCACATTCAAGTTTGAAACTGCATACCTTGCTAGATTTTTCTTCTGAAATTATATCCTCAAGAAGATCAATGCTAGAACTTTGACTAGAACGGGTAAGGGTAACCATAGAGCTAGGGACAAATTCCAGGTCGGCATCAAGCATTTCACCATTAACATTTATATCAGGGACAACATTAACAGAACTTTTAAGTCCCATTTCTTCAGGATCACCATTTTGCCTTTCTGGGTCAACAGCCAATTCTTCACATCTCTCATGGGCATGTACAATTGATGGAGAAGCAAAATTTAGAGAATCAAAAACGGGCAATTTTTCACTGAGAGCATGTTTATGTGCAGTGACACTACACTCATGTCTTGGAAGTCCATCTATATTAACTCCAGGCATGCCCACACATTCTAAAAATATATCTTCACTTTCTTCATTCTTAGAAGCACATTTCTCTTGCACATTCGAAGAAAAAGGTTCTGGAATTTCAATGGATGCACATTTATCATCATTGAATTGCACAGCAAGTTCAGACGATACATTATGATCAACTTGTACACTACTTTCACCAATCTCAAATGAGATCAAATTCTCACTGGTATTGTGTACACCTTTTGCATCATTTGGTAATTGGCATTGCCCATCTATAGCATCGTAGGATGAAAAACCATCACACTTTTGGTTTGAAGATCCCATTTTTTGTGAAGGATTGTCAACCAAAAGCGTTTCACTAAAATTCACTGCAACTGATGATGTCAAAAAAGACATGTCAATTATTTGCAACCAAAGGCAGTAACAGGGAAACTATAGCATGCAGTTTTCTTATTGCTAATGCCTTAAATCTGTTACATTAATAATCACCGACTTGCTATGAAATTGCATTGTAGGAAAAAGTAACCAAAGGCATACCAAGAGAACTGTTAACTACAGCAGCCTCACTATTAGCAGATGGCACGGAAAATGAAACGGTTCTCTCTGTAAAAAATGGGATAACCTCCATAAGAACAGCCTCAACAGCTGCGTCGGGATCCATACAATGTTCAATGGACACAGCCCTTAGAACCCGAGAATCAATCTGTTTCAAGTGAAAAACATTTCAATAATATGTAGTGTCTTGTGCTGCATATGATCAAGATTTTGAAAGGCAAAATTGGGCATCGAATGAGTGGGACTCTCAGACATGAGGCGTAAAGGAAACGGTAATTTTATTGAATAATGAAACATGATACAAAGTCACGGGAGAAGGAACCGACTCCATGCTTGTAAGAAATGAAAGTAAAGTAAAAGAATATGCCAGGACAAACTGGTAAACAAATAAAAACTAAAACAAAGAGCTATACAACCAAAAACAATCAAAACTGTAGGCCATCAATTTAGTTTTAACAAAATAATATAGTTAAATGCATAATTTATACTGTGAAAAATAGTACTCTTAGTGCATTATAAATTATTATAAGTAATATAAACTTAAAAGAGATTTTGAGAAGTTCAAAAAACAGAATCAGACAGTGTTAAACAACCAGAAACTATTGTTACCAAATACCAATATGACAATAAGTAAATAAGTAATAGACGCTAGTAAAATTCTCAAATATAAACATCCACAAACTCCCAAATTAAAAAAGAGATTAAATAAAGAGGGATGGGTGAGAGAGAGGGAGGGAAAGAACGGTGGTGGGGGGGGGGGACTAAATGTGAGGGCTTAAGCCTTGTCGAGGGCTCTAGGCCCAATAGCTTTTAAGAACTTCCATAAAATCATGACAAAATCATTAGGCTTAAGCCTTGAATTTTAGCTTTGCGCCACATACACCTCAATTAGGCCTTGCGCCACATACACCTCGATTAAGCCTCGTCCAAGGACAAAAGGTAGTAGTACAACAAAGAAAATAATGTACTCAAAATGAAAACAATGTTTCCTCTCAGCACACATAGACAATGATACCCATGCCAATAAGAGAGAAGAATTAGTATAATTAACATACAATGCAAATGAAAAAAAACACTTGATAAAATTTAAAGATTCAGCATAGAGAGCGTGCCTCTGGAAATATCTCCTGTAAAGCGTAATACACTTTTTTGAACCCCATCTGAAAGAATTACAAATTTGAATCTGCACAAGTGTAGGCAATAAACATAAGTAGGAAGATCTGATGCCAAATTAAAAAAAATATCACTCTAGAGAGAGTACAATAGCAAGTCAAAAAGCTAGAAGGTGATCCTAATTCTCAATACCTACAATTTGTCCCGAAGCTTTTTAATAAAAAGGGAGCAGAAGGAGAAAAAAGTATTTCATACTATTGTTATACTTCCTCCGTCCCAAATTAAACTTCCATTCGCTTTTTCAGAAGTAAATGCAAAACTTTGTGGATAAGATTAATGCAAGGGAGTGAGAAATAATGGGTACCATGTTCTTTTAAAATGAATTAGAAGTTAGTTTTGAGACCATCAAAAAAAGAGAGTGACAAGTTTATTTGGGATCACCAAGGTTCAAGTGACATTGGACGGCAATGTCATGGGATGACCCGGGGCGCTCCGGTGTCCCGTTCGTAAAATTGACGATTCCTACCCCCCTAACCCTCGGTAAACCCCCACCCAGCCCCGACCCAAACACACCCCCCACCCCCTTCAATTGCACCCCACAGGTAGATTTTGACTTTGGAGTCAAATTTTGACTCTAAAGTCAAAATCAACTTGTGGGTACAATTGAAGGGGGTGGAGGTGTGTGTTTGGGTCGGGGCTGGTTGGGGGGTTTACCGGGGGTTAGAGAGGGTAAGAACCGTCAATTTTACGAACGGGGCACCGGAGTTCCCCCAGGTCCACATTGAGGTCCAAAGTCACTTTAACCTTCCCGATTTGGGATAGAGAGAGTATGAAAAAGAACCAAATCGTCCACATAGGGCTGGTAAAATAGGCCTCGTCTTCTCAAGAATTGAACACGAAAGAGCCTATATAGTTGACCCATAAGCATGGAATATTATGAAGCTCATACCCCACAATCAGGCGTAGTGAATTACAACAAATTTGTTTAAATAAAAGGCTATCAAATATCACAAACTCCAAATAAAACACAGAGCTGAATTTTTCCACACGGCTAGTGAAAAGTGGCGTCGAATCCTAATGACATTCAGAACATCGTTTTAATGATACAGTGCGCAGGAATCCTGAAATAAGCAACGAGAATGAATCGCTTCAGCATGGGGAACCCCTAGCTGGAATACGAAACCCTAGGGGATGAAGGGTTAACCTGAATTTGTCAAATTGGACAAGAGAGTGAAAAACACATACCTATGCAGGTGCGTAGAGAAGAGAAACCCGAGACGGTGCGAGAATGAGGATCTGGTGTTTCCCATGCTCTTTATAAAAAGTATGGCTCAGATGTCTGAATGGCTCAGCACTTAATGGTTCAGACTGTTTGTTTCAGCCTCTTAATGGTTCAGATGTCTGAATGGTTAAGAGATTTGCCTCTGAATGGTTAAGTATTATACAGAGTCTGAATGATTAAGACCTCTTATCTGAATTGATCAGACATTTGCATCTGAATAGTTAAGCAATATACTAGCTCTTAATGGTTCAGACCTCTTACTGGTTCAGCACTTAATGGTTCAGACCTCTTACTAGTTCAGCACTTACCGATTCAGAAGTTGCCAAACAGCCCCTTAGTTGAATAACTTGTGATGGAAAATGCTAAAAACCACACCCTTGCTACCAACCATGTTCCCCTACATAAATATGTGGTAGGGAGACAAGAAAATTAAAATTAGAGGATAAGTAGAGAATGAGTAGAAATAAATATGTAGTGAAGAAGTGGGTGGAGGCAATGTTGGTAGCAAGGGTGGAGTTGTGTAGCACGGTCCAACTAGTGATAATAGACCTTGTATCCGGAGTACATTCTAAATTTTGATGCTCCCTATCTTGTAAATTTAATTTGATTTATTTTAATTTTCTAGTAATGTTATATTCTCTCTAGACCTGGCAAAGTGGTCGGTCACCTCGGGTTCAAATTCGAGTTATTTCTATGTCACTTCGAGTTCAGGTCTAAGAGTGGTTGTTCATGACTCAGAGTTATCAAATTCGGGTTGAGATACGTATTTAGAATTAAAATATTTGTTATTTAGAGACCAAGTAATCAACGCATTATTCAAAACAAATAACGAAATCATAAAAGTTTGCAAGTTTTGCATCATATCAAAAGAAAATTGCAATATACCAAAAAAGAATTGGATTTTTGCACCATACCAAAAAAGAAAAATTCATTAGACGAAAAAAAATGAAGACTCTGTCAACATACCACAAAAAATGTATAAAAAAAATAGAGATTCTTGGAACATACGAAAACAAAAATTTACAATAAATGAAAAGTCAGACTCTTGTTTATATTTTAAATATGGTACCGTCATTACATAATTGCAGCATACAAATAAGTGCAGTATACCAAAAAAATTACACTAGCAAAAAAAAATTTAATATACCAAAAAAATTAGGAGAAAAGAATTAAAACTTGAGTTACCCGCAGACACAGCTATAGAAGATGAAATAGGATTAGAAATTTCACTATTGTTCTTGTGTCTTCTCACCATTTTGATTGAGTCGGCACCTAATATCGAGGGACGGTGGAAGAGTGGAAGAACAAGAGAGAGAGG